GGCTTAGGGGAGGAGTGGTGATGGGTGTATATCCCTGCCTCAGAGGATACTTGTTTTGAGAAAGAAGGAGGATACGCCCATATTCATTTCCCTCTTCTTATTGTCTTTCGAAGCCGGAGACCCACCTGGGAGATGGGGAAGGGGGAGGAGGGGATTTGTGACAGGACAACTAACATATATTTTTTTTAAGGTTTTAAGTAAACTATAAAATAGAGGGTAAATAATGAAATGAAAAGGCTAATAAGGCTCAGTAGAAAACTACTGAGCTATCCAAGGTTAAGAGGCACTGCTGTCACTCCGACTCAAGCCAAAGGTAGGGAAGGAACTGGGGGACGGGTTGGCTGCGCACGCTAGGTAACTGCTCCAAGTGATGCGAGATGGCTGCCACACGTTTGTGACCAGCCAGGACACTGCTACTACAAATCTCAGATTACAAGCGCAGGGTGCTAAAACACCTAAAGTGGAGCACCTACAGGGACACTCCTCGAAGAATAAATAAAAAGTTACAACTGCACACAGAAAAACATGATTAATCAGCATCTGACCAACTCAACAATCTGGTCCTCCGCACTCCAAAACCACCTATTGTCATTAGAATTAATGTGCATGTGGTTATTTAAAAACAGAACAGTTATAAGGATCACTAAATCAAGCAAAAGAATTCAAGATTAGATTAGTGTGAAATGCAAAGAAATCTCAAGGAAATAAGTAGAAAAGCTACAGTTAGTTTATAATTTTAAGAGCTGAAGCAAGGGACAAAGCACAGGTGTTGCATTCAGTCTCTGGTGGTGAGGTGCTGAGTGTCTTCTTATTTTGGCAACAAGTCTGAAAGAGCAGCTTGCCTGCTATCTCCAAGGAAAATAAGATGCTGCAATGACTAAGGCTGTTATGAGAGGGATGAAGAGATATCAATGAGAGCTGAGTGAATCCTGCAGACCAATTTAAAGAATCACTTGAAAAATGAACCCACCTGGGTGAATGCCTGCTAAGAGGAATACATCTTTCAGAAAGATATTTTTTAATTAATATAACTGACTACTTGAAGAAAAGCATTAAAAGAAAAGATAATGTGCACCGGGCAACAAATGGTGCAATAAAATGGAATCATCGTGAACTAACTTATGATGGAACAAGCATACTGAAAGAATATTTTCCCTTTACTTACACCGTAGATTTGAGTCTTCCAATCGACAAACACCAATTTGTAATTCTCAGGACTAACTCTGAAGCATGGAGCAGAAATCTCTTGTTCAATTACTTTCATGTGGTTAGCAGAAGTGATGTCTAATCAATAGAGCTCTACTTAATACCTGAATTATAATGAACGCAAGCATACTGTCATATCTGCACAGTACATCGTTTCCAACTCTTCAGTGCATTGCAATGTAGAAGGAGAGAGCAATTAAGAAGAAAGACGAAAAAAGCCTTAGTGGCCCTTCTGAACTTGCAGCCATAGCTGTTATCTCAGAATACAAGAAAGCATACTGCTGTACCTTAGTACTTGAACAAAACATCAATCTTATTTCTTTCATCTGTCTACCATCCTTTCACTGTGCATATGGAAATGACAGGTGAGCCCTTGTGAAGTATCAAATACCAACATTTCATAAGGAATGCTAAATATTTTTAAATTAATGTTTCTATTTACTGTTTGCTCAGACAACAAGGATGGCCATATTGTATTTAGGTTATCAGACTGATTATGATTTTTACTTTTGGCCAACATATTTTAAAATTATTTTTAATCTAGAATTTTGATGTAATTAAATGTATGCGATTAGGGTTTTGTTTCGTTTTTAGTTTGTTTGTAAACCTAGCCTGGAAATTATCTGAATAATCGGGGTCCAGTTTAGTTGTTCTATTCCCCTCCCCCATCTTTCTTTGATTAAAGATTTCTCTGTGTGAGAGATGAAAAAGAAAGTTGCATTATGCTACCTCTGGGGAAATAACCCAATTCTCCTCAGTGCCTTGATGAATTTGGCTAAACAGATTTTTTGGCAGATTATGTATTTCCTGCCCAATTTGTCAGATACCTAAAAAAGTGATGTGATGAAAAGAAAGCATCTGACAACAATTTTGGGAACTCATGATAACTGGAGAGGATAATATGAAAAGATCAAGAGCGATTGTCCAATCTATTTCCAAGTTTGTGGTGTTTTAGAGGCAGATATGTGCATAATTATATGACACTATGAAATTTACCATTTCCTTTAATCCTCATCATTACCACCACAAGCAACGTTCAGAGAGCAAGGTTTAGCAAAGCAAATCTGACTACTCTCCTTTCTCCCAAAGAAGCTGCTATCTAAATGATCTGATGTATAATTTGACAGAAAATTAAATATTCTAATAAAAATCCTGAGCTTTGTAAGAGGTCACACTTTGCCTTATTATTATGGTTGCTTATTTTAGTGTCTCCGTTTTATTTACTCTTCCATTCAGAAAAGCATTTAAGTATCTTAGATACAAAAATGATTTCTTACTGCAATTGCCTAACAGGATTATTTTAACTTCTGTGTTTATTTCCATGAAGAGAATAAGACATTTTCTACAATATTCTAATTTGCAGAATTTGTTACAACTGCAAATTATACTTTCAAAAATAATGCCATCAATTCCCATTAGCAATACTGTATGTTACTTATTTAAATAAAAATATTTATTACTCATTTTACAGTTTAGGTTGGGCTAAACAAAAATGATACCTGGTGAGATAGGTGGGGCTCTGATTATTTTTCATACGTAAATTTGTGAAGATGTAGAGTGTAAAACAAATTTACTCCTTATGTTTTAGACCACGTCATAAAAGGGACTGGATGATTTCAATCATAATTTTTAAATAAAGTTATGTTTTTTATATTACTTGGAAGACAAAATGCTTCAAAGATAGAGTAGGATGATAAATATTTGAAATAAATATAGACCATATTTGTAGAAAAAAATACAATAAAGGGTTTAGCAGGTAAGAGAATAATAATTTAGAAATGGAAAAGACCTCTTAGATGATCTAGTCTACTAACCTCCATTCAAGGACTATGCATGATTGCTTTCTACAGTTTAATTTCCAGAGCTTTATGCAGCTTTCTAAGGGTAGATTTACCTATATTTGGATGGGGGTAGAGAAGGCAGAAAAGTGGGGGGAGGAGGGAATAAGACTAAGGGAGAGACAGATGGACAGAATGTTGCCTGAATACATTTTCTAATAATTTTCTATTTTTCCAGTACATACATACATACATACATACATACACACACACAATACCATGATCATTTTCTATTTTATTCTATCCAGGTACAGTATTTTAAGGCAATTGCCTGATTTCCAACTCCGGCCCCGATTGTTGCTTTGGTAAACTTAATTACAAGGATTTATAGTCCTTTGATTATATTTCTGGTGTGTTTGAAAAATAGGTAAAGCCCTCATTATTTGACTAATCAAAACAGTATTTAATAGATTATCTGATTAAACATATGATTGCAAATATTTGTAATTATAAGATACTTAATTTTTGAGACAAAAAGAATGTTAGGTCAGAGTGATATCATTTGTCTATTGAGGATAGCATAAAAAAGTGTGATGTACATTAAAGTAGTGGATCAAAATTGCAAAGAGGGGAAAGAATAGCAAAACTGCAATTAAGTATTTTGAATGTATTTATTCCTCATTTACAGAATAGTTTTAATTATGTAAATGTAGTATTCTTTATATACTTCATCATGAGAATGATGATCAGAGTCACTGTTTATACAACAAAACCACAGGGATTTTATCTGATGATCTAATTTTTTTTTTTTGTATATTTTTCAGTTAAAATGTTTCAATTACCATGCATTGTTAAACAAAATATTAGTCTCCTAAATAAAAACTAAGATCCCCAAGGGGACAAGTAAAATCCCCAAAGGGGACAACAATACTACACAAAATTCATTTGGATAAATTCAACTTTTTCTTCATTTCTCTAAGTAATGGGAATTAAAACAAACAAAAACACAGAGAAAAGAAGGAACATAAAAACAAGTTTTCTTTTTAAAAGAAAAACAAATCTGACTAAATGAACAATGTCCCTCTTAACTTGTCAAGGCAAGTATTAATCAAAACAGGTCAAATACTGATATATAAGAATTTACAAGTTATTTTCAGAAGTTCACTGTTTACAACTAACAACAAAAAGCAGGTGCTGAAAGCCATTTGCCACTTGGTGATGAAAAGGAGACGTACTGTAACAACACACAATACAGTAGTTAACTTAAATGATCACATTAAAATGCTTATAAAGGACAAGAGGTTAGATGGATGGTCAAGGCATCACAAAGAACAACAGACCAGGCTATTCAACACAGGTGCTAAAATATTTTCTCTTCCAGCCCTTTCCAGAGTAAATAAAGAGAAAACATCTCTACCCCATCCACACTGTATTGATGTTCAATGATATTGGCATATCACTGTACACTGTTTAAAGAATTAATTAACAGGAAACCCTGGCAGCATTAATCAAATTACTAAAGTCACTGTCCCCTCAATTTAGAATAATATAAGCATCAACATTTAGCAGAGACCACACTATATTTATCAGAACTATGGTAATCTATCCAGTATGTAGCTCAAAGACTACAGAAATATTAATGAAATCATAAATAGCTAACATGGAAAACAACATATCATCTGTGTAATACAGATATATTATGTAATATAGAAAGACATGAGATTGCTGGGCTGTGCTGAAAAAATTGAACAAAAATCCTTTAATTCTATATTAATCATTTATAAGAACATACGGAAAAATGAAAACACATCCCGTTTAGTATTTTAAATAAAAACAATCAAAGGTAATCCTTTAAAATTAGGGTTCAGATTAGTCTCCGCAAAGGATGCAGTTCAATTGAAACATCTGGTAGTGTTATGTTGCGAGACAGATCTTTTTTAACTTTGGAAATGAGATTAGTAGATTCGTTATGTGTAAGTGTCCAAGTAATTTCTAATTATTTTATCTGGGTCACAGATAATCCGCTTTTACTGGCCTCCCACTATGACATCAGAGGATCACTGCTGAAGCGATTATCCTGTTACCTTCCACCAACCACGGGAAGATGGGATTTTCCTTGTGTGTGTGTTTGTTTATATATCTCAAAATGAATGAAAGAGAGAAGTAGCCGATCACTTCAAGCAGACGGCTGCCAACAAAATAAAGATCACCACAAAGCCTGATAAGAAGAAACCCCACACATCCAAAAAGTAACAGCCTTAACAAAAATTAGCAGATCGAACACCTTATAGTTCTGAAGCAATTTAAAAACAATGAAAAAGAGAGGTTCATGATACATTAAAAATAATCATCTAAATCATGATTTAAAATAGCATACCATATTTGGTATTTGTATTTATTTTCTTATTTTATTTTTAGAAGTCTTACATAAAAGGTGCAAAGTCACAAGTAAAGATGGATGTGTAATGAGAAGTGATGGTAGTGCAAAAACTGGAATTCAAAATAAGTGCAGTTTAAAAAATACACATAGAATGCAATGCAGCTTTTTTAAAGTACTTCTTAATTTTTTACTTTGTACAGTACTGTATCTGCTTCCTCGCTTCAGGTTCAATAATAATGAGTCCTATAGTAATGTACATGAAGTAAATAAAAAGCTCTGACATTCATACTACATTTTCTCTTTCAATTATATTTATTTACTTCTTGTCACTCCCCTTGTACCACCTTAAAACTAGGTCTTTTCTGGTATTCACTCACACACACAAGTCTCATTGCTCTTACTTTCAGCTCCACACTACAAGTGTCAGCTCTGAGCTATGTTTCTTTTTCTTTTTGTTTGTATGGCTGGTGATAGGAAAATGTTGAGACAGCTGGCTGGGGTTTAGCAACTCTTCATTTTATCATTGCACAGTTATCCAAGGAAATGTACACTACCGAAAATGCTCCCTTTGGGGTCTCCATTGCCCTCAGTGAGTATGTCTACACAGGGATAAAAAACCAGCAGCTGGCATGGGTCAGCTGACTCAGGCTCTCAGGGCTGAAAAACTGCGGTGCAGATGTTTGGGCTCAGGTTGGAGTCTAAATTCTGAGACCCTCTACCTTTGCAGCCCAAGCCCAAACATCTACACAGACTTTTTTTAGCCCAGCAGCCCAAGCCCTGTAATCCTGAGTCAGTTGACTATGACCTTGCCGTGGGCTTTTATCCCCAGGTAGATGTACCCAGTGTCCCCCCCCCCCCGCCCCCAGAATACTATGCCATTTTTAGTGTCCAGCTCTCAAACTCCTCTCACCTTCTACCAAGGTGTAAAGTTAAGAAACTAAAAGAATGCACAGCATGGTCTTTTAAGAAATCTGCTCATACTACAAACAATTAAACTGAAGAGACAGATATTATTAAAGCAGTTTACAGACTTGAAGTGTACAGGCATACCAGCTGTTTCTTTAAATATGGTCTAAAAGATTCTAGCAATATGAGCAGATGGACTCAGGGCTTGTCTACAAAGAAAAATTGTACCACTTTAACTATACCACTATAGTTAAAAGCAGTACAACCCCCGAGTGTGGGTGCATTTACAGTGTATAAAAGTGCTTATACCAATGTAGCTTATTCCTGTAAGGGAAGGGGAATAAATCACACCAAAAAAAAAAAAGAGGATTGGGGGGAGGGATAGCTCAGTGGTTTGAGCATTGGCCTGCTAAACTCAGGGTTATGAGTTCAATCCTTGAAGGGGCCATTTAGGGATCTGGGGCAAAAATCTATCTGGGGATTGGTCCTGCTCTGAGCAGGGGGTTGGACTAGATGACCTCCTGAGGTCCCTTCCAACCCTGATATTCTATAATTTCTATAATTGATACTGATATTTACACATCCACACTAGGAGTTGTATCGATGTAACTATTTTGGTCAAAAATCCACCCCCTAACCAAAACAGTTCAGTCAGTACAAAAATTGTTTGTAGGCCTAAGACTTGAGAGTGGAACAAGAATGAAAATGTACATTTTGAGATGAGGGGGGGAGAAGGTGATTGGAAAGATAAGCTAAGTAGATATGCTTGTTGTTTGCTCTAAGAAACTATTAAATATCAGAGTTTTGAGTGTTGAATGAAAAAAAAACTACTTTGGAAACCAGATAACTAAGAGTACAGCAAGTATGAAAAAGAAAAATTACAATGTTTTTCAGCGTGCCAGACCTTAGGCAGAGCTAAACGGGATGGTTATTTTTGGGAGCCAATAGAAATTATACACGAAATATGTAACTTGAAGCTTTAAAATAGGTTTTCTATACTTATATATAATCTATACTAACACAGGCTAAGTCAGAAGCAATAGTTGTGTAATTTAACACTTACATAGCACTTTCCAAGCATTACACAATGATTAGAGCCCTACCAAATTCACAGGCCATTTCACAGGCACAGAATTTTAAAAATAGTAAATTTCATAGTTTCAGCTATTTAAATCTGAAATTTCATGGTGTTGTAACTGTAGAGGTCCTGATCCAAAAAGGAGCTGGGGGGGGGGAGGTGTCACAAGGTTATTGTAGCAGGGGATTGCGGTACTGCTACCCTTACTTCTGTGCTGCTGCTGGCAATGGTGCTGCCTTCAGAGCAGGGCAGCTGGAGAGCGGTGGCTGCTGGCCGGGAGCCCAGCTCTGAAGGCAGAGCCACCAGCAGCAACAACACAGAATTAAGGATGACATGGTATGGTATTGCCACCCTTACTTCTGCGCTTCTGCTGGTGGGTGCCCGGCCAACCGCTGCTGCTCTCTGGCCACCTGCCGCCACTCTCTGGCCACCCAGCTCTGAAGGGAGCACAGAAGTAAGGGTAGCAATACCATGCCCCTGCCCCTACAATAACCTTTTGACCTCCCTGCAACTACCTTTTGGGTCAGAACCTGCAACTTGAGAAATGCTGGTCTCCCCCATGAAATCTGTATAGTATAGGGTAAAAGCACACAAAAGACCAGATTTCACGGTCCGTGAATTTCATGGCCGGGAATTTGGTAGGGCCCTAACAATGATTATCTAATCAAGCCTTGACTCCCCTATGAGCTGGGTAAGCAGCTATTATGCCAAAGAAACTGAGACAAAGTTTAGAGAACTGGAGCCTGATTCTCAGAGGTGCTAGGTACCCACAACTCCCAAGAACTTCAGTGGGAACTGCAGGTGCTCACCCCTCTGAATATCAGGATCTGGCTTTCTCAAGTTGGGCATCAAAAACGGAGAAAGAAAATCAGTGAACACTTTTGAAATGTGTGCCTAAGTGACTTGTTCAAGACCTGGGATTACAACTCAGAAGCTCCTACATACCACTCGCATGCTATAAAAAAGGGACATTATAGCACACTGGCAATCTAGACAAATTTCAAGAAATGTTGAAAGTATATAAAAAAACAAGAAAGAAAATCCCATGACATAAGTGGAAGCAATACATGGGAGCTATTAAAAATTTTAGATGGGAGTAGTAGGAATACAGAATGATATGCCTCATGCTGGGATTCTGGGATGCATTAACATTAGCATTAACAATGTTGTGAGCAAGACACGAGAAGTCATTCTTCCACTCTACTCTGCGCTGGTTAGGCCTCAGCTAGAGTATTGTGTCCAGTTCTGGGCACCGCATTTCAAGAAAGATGTGGAGAAATTGGAGAGAGTCCAGAGAAGAGCAACAAAAATGATTAAAGCTCTAGAGAACATGACCTATAAAGGAAGGCTGAAAGAATTGGGTTTGTTTAGTTTGGAAAAAAGAAGACTGAGAGGGGACATGATAGCAGTTTTCAGGTATCTAAAAGGGTGTCATAAGGAGGTAGGAGAAAACGTGTTCATCTTAGCCTCTAAGGATAGAACAAGAAGCAATGGGCTTAAACTGCAGCAAGGGAGGTTTAAGGTTGGACATTAGGAAAAAGTTCCTAACTGTCAGGATGGTTAAACATTGGAATAAACTGCCTACGGAGGTTGTGGAATCTCCATCTCTGGAGATATTTAAGAGTAGGTTAGATAAATGTCTATCAGGGATGGTCTAGACAGTATTTGATCCTGCTATTAGGGCAGGGGACTGGACTCGATGGCCTCTTGAGGTCCCTTCCAGTCCTAGAGTCTATGAATCTATACCTAAGCTAACCAAAAAGCCAGCAGGATCATGGAAATCTCCAGGAAGGGCAAGAAAGCTCAGACAAAATTCCTTTAACTGTAAACATCTCAGGTACTTCAATTATGCATTGAAGAGGGAGCATGGTCAGAGTTGTGCTCAGGCAATCTTGGACTAACACTGTTCTAACTTGCATTAGGAGCAGAAAAATCAGCTCCTGGCTAACTCCAGGATTTTGAGAAGGGATAACAGGGAGGAGGCAGAAAGCCACCTCTTTCTTTCCCCATCCATCTCCCTCCTTCAGGTACTCAGTAATGACACTCAGGTGCACCTGAAGATCAAATACAATACATTGTAATGGCTTGTAAGTTTCTCTTATGACTAGAACTAGTCATTTTTTAAAATTTTTGCACAAATCCATCTAATTTTGCAAAACCAATTTTCTTAATTGTGAAATATTTACTGCTTTTTCAACAAGTTCTAGTTAAGATAACATTAGGCTCAATCCATAATGAAGAGCAGTATAATGAGGTGCCACCTCATTCATCTGCCCATGGTATTCATTCAGAGTTTCTCTTCTCAGTGTATTGACAAAAATACATTTTTAGTTGTTTTTACTCCTGTTAGCCTTGTAGAACTGGCATAGCTTAGAGAGCTCTGAATTATATTCCATTTGTGCCTCATTAAACAGGACTGTTTATTAAGTTCCAATCAGTTACACCTAGGCAAACCCATTAAAGAGAATGCAATTGCACCGAATCATTGTAAGCATAATCTATAAAGACAATGAAGTTGCAGGGGTTTAGTTTGAGGGCCTGATTCTTTATTTCTGGCGATGATCAACAAGAAGGTAAGAATCTCGCTACACTATAGAGCCCATGATAAATTTGCAGGGTTGGAAGTAAAAATTAATTTATAATCTGATCATATTCAATATAAAAATCAATGAAAGCAACTGAGAACCTCCTGATGCTTTTTCAAAAATCTGTATATTGAATCTTATTTAGATGAAGTTAAAATTAATCATTTCAGCACACTTACATTATCCTTCTCAACAACCAACATGGACTATTGGCTTTGGTTTCTATAAAGTTATATAATGAAGATTGAGCTTTTTTTAGCAGATTGTATTATGCAGAGGTGGTAGTTTGTTTGGATTATGGAGCAGGTCAGAATTATTTAAGTTTGTTACTCAGTTTTCTTTGTAAACCTGATTTCAGCATCCCTTTCAAAAAAGGGAAAGAAGAGTGACACTTTAGTTTGCTAAACTCATCTAGTCACAATTTGCACAGAGGATCCAGCACAGAGCATTGGAAAAAGAGCAGGAATGCTGCCTGTTCTGCTGCACCACTCTCCAAAGGCCTCTGGCTCTAGCCAATCCCACTTACACCCACTCCTGTGCATCTCTGTAAATCACAAGAGAGCTCTCCAAGGGGCAGATGCTAATATAGCATAAATACCTTAAACTGTGACTTCCTGTACGTTCAGATGTTCGGGTTTCTTTTAAATTTAGCCTCAGCTCTGAATTTCCGGGCTTAATGATTGCCTCTTGCTAACTACAACTCTTATCAGGATTTTTACCCTTAATTTATTAAAATAGCTTTTTAAAAATAAGTTTGTGTTTTACTGATTCCATATCAAATTTGCTCAGTTTACAAGTATTTATTATTCTACAACAGTGCCCAACAGCATGCTAGGCACTCCACAGTACAGATTAGAACACACCAACTCTTTACTCGAAAGACCTTCCAATCTGATTTCAGTCAGTGGAATAAAGGGGGCAAACTAAACAACAATGTGGACTTGGGTGTGAAAGAACAAGATACAGTAAAAAGATTACCTGGTTACTCAGTGAAGTCAAATGCAGTATGGTGAAATAGGGTTTTTTAATTTATATATATTTGTTGACATACTAATTTCCCAAAAGAAATAAGAGGGATTTGAAAGAGAAGTAAAAATATGTTTTTCTGAGTACAACCTCTGCAAACTTATTCTGGGATCTAAATGTCTGGCTACATTTTTTCCATCTTGCACATCATTACCAGTATCAAATTCTGCAAGCCAAATGATGCACTCAAGTACACAAGCACAAATTTACTAACACTTTCTCTTTATCTGAGCACTGGAACACTTCAAAAAGTTATAAATACTCAAGATTAAAAGATTTCCTCTTCAACTATTCATTTCTAATATAAAGAGAACCATGTCATAGCAACCAAAGCTTGGTTTCTTATTATAAGCAGATATTATGTGTTCATGTTCATTCTAGTTGGAAAGTTTCCTTCCAGAGGTTTTTTACTGGTTTTCCAGATCTTTAAATATCAAACTAATTTATCTTGAAATTGTTGTAATTCTACAAACTTAACAATAGAAAACTTCAAAATATATGCTTTTATTAAACATTTAATAAAAGTCTCTTCTACCCAGCATGTATAATTAACTCATGGCCTCACTGCCACAAAGTGTAACTGAGGCCAAAAAGATTGTAAAATTTAAAAAAGGGTAACACATTTGCATACCTTTTATTGCATTATAGATCCAGAGTTACACTAAATAGGAAAAAAAATAATGATATAAACCCTTATCAGGACAAAAGCCATTCACTAACTGATGCACATTAGGAAAATATTTCCCCTATGGGTTGGTTATTCCATAACTGTTCCGCTATGGGAAACACAAGGGTTTCTTACACCTTCCCCTCCTACAGAGTACTGCCAGACAAAGATGGATTACTAATACAGCAGTTCCTCTGTTCATATATTTTTATTTATTTTATATATGGTCCATACTGCCTGACAGTATGCAAATATATAGTTGAGTTACAATACACCGATAAACTATCTGAAAAATCAAACAATGAAATACTTACAGTGAAAATACCCATTAGCTGAGTGTAAAAGAGTCCACTTATTCCACCTAACATTATTATGCCCATGAAGGTCGATATCCTTAGCAAGGCAAGTTCATGTCTAAATACAAAGAGATCCTATGAACAAAGGGAAAAAGAAAAGGCTGTTTAGTTTTCAAAAATTACATGAAGAAAATGATCCCTGAACAAAGCAATAACATTAGATAAGAACTGATTCATAACATTTATGACTAAAGCAATGCATTTATATGAGCTAGGTCAGGGGTCCCCAATGTGGTGCCCGGGGGTGCCATGGCACTCTTCGGGGCGTCTAAGTGCGCCCGCGTGCTGGCCAGCAGACAAGCATCTGCCGAAATGTTGATGACCAGCAGCGTCATCCAGAGTCAATGCCGCTGAAATGCCACCGATTTTCGGCGGTGACGCCTCTGGATGACACTGCTTGTCAGCAGCATTTCGGCGGCGACGTCTATTGACGTTGCTACTTGTCAGCAGCATTTCGGCGGATGCTCGTCTGCCACCACGGTTCTCCAAGGCTCGTCGTCTGGCACCCGCCAGACGAAAAAGGTTGGGGACCACTGTGCTAGGTGGTATTTTTTCAATGCATAAATACTAAAAACTCAAAGCCTATAAAATATATGTTTTCTATTTATACATTCAGACATACAAAAAGGTGTGCTAGATTGCCAAAGAACTCAATCCACTATTTAAGGTTCAGTAGTATAGCAAACCCTGCCAGTTTATTCCTGGCTTTTCCTCAGCAAAGCATGCCACGTGCTATTCTGTACATACTTGTCTTCACAAGGAAACAAAAGGAACTTTCTCTGCTATAAGACTTCCAGATCGTGGCTCTAGCCATAGACTATTACATTATTTTAATAACACTTCTTTTAAAAAAAATAACACTTAGAACTTGACTCAAAGATGGCACTGTAATAAAATAAAAATATATAGTTAGGGCTGTGAAGCGATTAAAAAATTAATCACGATTAATCGCGCTGTTAAACAAAACAGAATACCATTTACTTCAGGGTGGATAAAAATCAATTATTTTTTAAATTTTTTAAAATTTGGATTTTTTTAATTTAAATCAAATTTTGTTGATAAAATGCTTTTTAAGGAAAAAACTATCTAAAGATAGTTTTAATTAAGATACATTATAGCTCAAAGATCTCTCATCGTGGAATAGGGATTATAAATTCTAATTCTATAGTATGAGACAATATATTCATGTAATGTTTAAGAAAAATTTTGTAAATGAGTTTCAATAGTTCATGGATTAGGGACCCAATTTTATGGGGTTCCAGGGGCTTCTGTACAGATTATTTAGGTTAACCTTTCTATCTATCCAATGGGACTCAGTGGTCAGTCTAGAACAGTGGTTCCCAAACTTTAACAGCCCGCGAACCCCTTTCACTAAATTGTGAAATCTCGTGAACCCCCTCCTAAAAATGAATATTTTCAGGGATTTAAGTTTAAATTTCCTCAGTGATGGATGCCCCAACTGCCGGACCCCGGAATCTATGAACCTCTGAAAAATATTTTTAATTGAAACTTTTTTTGACAAACAGAAAAACCAGAAACCAAAAATGTTTCTGTAAAATGTTTTTTTGGCTTTTGTTTTTTAAAAAATGGTTTCTAATAAAAATAAATTCATTTTTGGTTTTCAAAAATCAGAAAATGTTCCATGAAAACAGTTTTTGAAAATGGACCATTTTTCCGTTTCAGTTTTTTGTAAATTTTTCTTGGGGAATTTTGAAAAATGTGAAAAAAAATTCAAAACTTTCTGTGAAAGTTCCAGTGAGGTTGTGGCTGGTGGTAACAAGAAGGGCCGTGGTTCTGGCAAATTCCTGGGGCTCGGGCTGCCGGCTCCCCCGCTGACGGTGGCAGGGCTCGGGCTGCCAGCCCCAACTGCCTGGCCCTGCTCTCCCTGGGGCGCGGGCTGCCAGCCCCAACTGCCTGGCCCTGCTCTCCCTGAGGCTCGGGCTGGGGTTCAGGCCGCCGGCTCCCCCGCTGACAGTGGCAGGGCTCGGGCTACCAGCCCCAACTGCCCGGCCCCACTCTCCCTGGGGCTCAGGCTGCCAGCCCCGCTCGGAACGCTGGGGTTCGGACTGCCGGCTCCCCTGCTGATGGGGGCAGGGCTTGGGTTGCTGGCCCCAACTGCCCAGCCCCGCTCTCCCTGGGGCTCGGGGTGTCTGCCCTGCAACTGGGTCCCACCTGCTGTCTCCAATACCCAGGGTCCTCTGTCCGCCATTAGTGAAATTTTTCTGGCGAACCCCCTGTAACATTCTGCGAACCCCAGTTTGGGAACCACTGGTCTAGAAGATACCATCAGAGATGCTTAGTTTTGCAGTTCTCAAACTGTGGATTTGTGTCTCCAGAGATAGCATGTTTGTTAACAGCAAAAATGTTTTTAAATAAATAAAATATAGAGGTGAGAAATAACAGACCTCATATTGTCCCTCTGCAAATTTATGTACACAGAGTCAATCCCTTACCTCTCTCTCTCTCTCTCTAAGAGTGCAAAGTTTCAAAAAGTTTAATGAACAGAAGATTGTTGGTGGTGGAACAGATCCGGACAAGGAGAAGAAGTCTAGAGATAAATGTGAGAAGGGAGGGACAGTAGAAATAAAAGTGAAACTGTTTGAGCAGCATATTCTAGAAGTCTTGAGATCTTTCCGAGTGGGGCCTTCATTGATTTGAGATCTACCATACCATTCTCTCACTAGAAGGGAAAACCTATAATGGCAGCAGGCTGTAAAAGAGATCCAGTTGGGAATATTTTAATGAAGTTCCTCTACCTATGGGTAAGACAGACATGTGTGCAAAATGCAAACAGTGTAACGAAGAAATGCAAGGCCTGGTCGCCCGAACAAAACAACATCATGAGAAGTGTTCCTTCTCAGGAGGAAGCTGCATTGAAGATGATGAAAGGAACAGGTCTGAAGATGCAGGACCTTCAGGTTGTTAAACTTTTTTATTTCATACTTCTTTCTTAAGGACTCCCTGTCTTCCTTCTGGACTATTCTTGAATTCTCATGTTTGAACACAAAAAGGAGTTATTACTCTATGGTACTATCATTTTAGATGCAGTTGTGATTAAAAATAAATAGCTGAAATAGGCAGACCTTCCTTTTACAATTTCACCTTTAAAGTACTACTGAGTGTCCGTGAATGCAACGAGTAATACTAAATGAGCAGTATGGTAATAATAATTAAATAACTGCATTGACTTATTTTGCTTAGAAGAATCTGTACTCAACATACAGAATTCTGAAGACTATCCACCTTCAAGATCAGCATCATTTTCTATAGTTTCAGAGTTATCTGCCAATGATAGTGTTTCAGTCACATCATGCATGTCACATAGCTACATTATATCACCTGTGGCAAAAAGAAAAAAAAATCTCCATCATCCAGAAACAACCATAGATAAGTCTGTGATAAGAACTAGCAGATTACAAAAAGAGATAATTGATGAAAAAATTGCCCGGCTTGTTTATGCAACAAACTCTCCTTTCCGTATGATTGAGAACCCACACTTCATTAACATGGTTCAGTCATTAAGACCAGGATATAGTCCACCCAACAGAGCAGATGTCGCAGGCAAATTGCTGGATAAAATGTATGGAAGAGAAATTGAGCAGTGTGCAAAAGGTCTAGAGGGTGAAACTGTTAACCCGAGTCTTGATAGATGGAGCAATGTCCACAACGATCCTGTTGTATGTGCTTGTGTGACAATAGAAGAAGGGAATGTCTTCCTTACAGAAACAATTGATACATCAGGAAATGCACACACAGCAGAATACTTACAAGTAGCAGCAGTAAAAGCTATAACAAACTGAAAAAAAATCCAAATGTCTAGTATGCAGCTTGGTCACAGACAATGCTGCAAATGTATCCAAGAGGAGAAGAAATTATTTAGAAGAGAGTCCCAAGCTAATAACATGCGGTTGCAGTGCTCATTTGATGCACCTCCTAGTCAAAGACTTCAGTGTTCCAGAAATAAAGGCTAACGTGGCTGAAATTGGAAAATACTTCCGTAACAACCACTTTGCAGCAGCTTCTCTGAAAAAAGTGGGAGGAACCAAGCTAACTCTCCCACAAGACATGTGATGGAACTCAGTAGTGGACTGTTTTGAACACTATATCAAGAATTGGCCTAATCTGATGACAGTTTGTGAACAAAATCGTAAAAAAAAAATAGATGGCACTGTCACAGCCAAAGTTCTCAAAATTGAGCTTAAGAGAAATGTTGAACACATGCTAAGTACCCTGAAGCCTATTTCTGTAGCCTTGAACAAAATGCAGGGAAATAACTGTTTTATTGATGATGCTGTTGAAATGTGGAAGGAATTGAGTGAGATCTTAAAAAGAGGAATATGCAATGACAGAGTTAAATTACAAGCATTACAATGGGACAAGCACTATCTGCAGTTCATTTTCTTGCAAATATTCTAAATACTCAGTACCAGGGTCAAACTTTAACTGCCAAAGAAGAGGAGTTGGCTATGACATGGACATCCAGCAATCATCCCTCCATAAAGCCAACTATAATCAACTTCAAAACTAAGGGTGAACCATTCAAGAAATATATGTTTGCTTATGATGTTTTAAAGAAAGTTACACCAGTGAACTGGAGGAAGTCACTTAAGCACTTGGATTCAGAGACTGTTGAAGTGATAATCTCACTTCACCGGCAGAAGCAGCTACTGCCGGTGTAGAAAGAATATTTTCTTCCTTTGGACTAATTCATTCCAAATTGAGAAATCGTTTGGGACCTGAAAAAGCAGGAAAGCTTGTTTTTCTTTGCCAGATTATGAACAAATAGGAAAATGAAGGTGAAGACGACTGAGTTAGCTGCAGAAGCCAATATTTTAAGTTTCTCATGTTGATTTAATTTTTGTTTTTTTAACAAAATATTTCATTTATCTATTTTAGTTAAAAACAATTTTAACAAAAACAAACCTGATTTTAAAAAACTTGACTGTTTAATTAAATTCAAAAATTCATTTGTTTGTTTTGTTAAAATATTATATGTTTGCTGTTGAAGAAAAAAAATCCAGAATACATAACGTTGTTGTTTTAGTTAAATAAAACAATTTATGTGTGTGTCAGGT